AACTAAATTGAATTGAAGCAGTTCTCCAGCATCTTTCTGCCACTCCCAATATTTATACTTGTGCTCCCAAACTGTCCAGAGCAGAATTTTCCTCACGGATCAAGATCTATTATCCCTTATAATCTTCAAGATTTTCATGGCGGATTTGTTAAACCTGTTAGGACAAGAAACCAGATGCAATTGAAGGGGAGAAAAAAAGAAGACAGAAAGCAGGAACACCCTACCACATTCTTGGGCAGCTTGTGACCTGGCAGATATTTCACATTTTCATGCTCAGTGTTGATGATCTCTGTGAGCTTCTTGCCATCAATGATCTCCTCATAGACCCACATGTTCACCATGGGGTCGAATCGGTTGGATCCTTTGACATTGTGGCCAATGATCTTGGCGATGGAGGATCCCCTGCAGGAGATCAGAGGTTCATTAGAGTTGGATGGAGGATTCCAGCCAATCAGAAAGCATTAAACAAATGCAAGCAGATGAATGAGGCAGAACTTTGTATGTTAAATGCTGATTGGCACTTTTAGAGGAGAACTACACCCTTAAAGTCTGTGGATTGACACAGACCACAGATAATGAGATTAAATGAACCCAGCAGGTTTAAATCTGCCTAATCCTATTTTAGTTAACTGCTGATCGCATCATAATGCAAATTTAAACCAATAAAACATATATTAAAGCAAAACACAGTTTAGTTACCAGTTCCCAGATCCAACGATGCAGACCTTTTGAGCAGGCATGTTGCAGCTGGAAGAATGCTTTGTTAAACTGAAGTGACTGTTGTTCTCTATCCGCCTGTATAACTTCCTTACACGCCCTGTTATTGCTAGAAGAGATCCACTCCGCCCTAAACACGCCACGGTTACGCCTCCTGGTTTCACCCCTGGAAAATAAAATGACCTGTGAAGTTCTGTGGTGCAGAAACCTGGTAATCTCAATGGATTTCCGCACGCCTCCACATTTCAGCTCCACATATAATGTTAAAATGAAACTAAGGAGCGATGTTAAATGAGCCGAATAGATGCTGTGAGTCGGTAAAAATAAAATACACGAGGAGCTAAAGCGCAGTGACGTTCCAGAGGTCGCCGGTAGATAAATAACCGCTAACTGAATGGGAAACCGCTGATTAGAACGGCCACTGCTCAGCAGCGGTGGAAATGGTGACGAGACTTCCGGTCCATGTGACTTTCAAAATAATGGTAAATTTTTAAAAAAAACAACGCTATTTTGACGGGAAAGGATTAGGCCCATTAAAAAGACTTTTTATTTTAAAGCTATATATATATATATATATATATATATATATATATATATA